CATCTCAACCATCGTTATCCACGGTGTAATATGTTCAGAAAGCACCTTTATTTCACCCTCAGGATGATCACTGTAAGTATTTATTTGTATATTATGCTACTACTACTACTATACTATTATGAGTAAGTATGATTGTGATGCCTAGGGTGTAGTGTTCCCTGCTGAAACAAAAGGGAACAGGGAAAGTTATAAATCAATGTTTGCACTTGCAGAAACAGGGAAGAATTACGTTGGGAATTGAAAGAAGCTCACAATGGTTATTACTGCTGGAAAACAGCTCAACAGATCCCCCAGGGAGATAAACCAGATGCTCATGTGAATGGAAATGCTGAGGTTCTGCAAATTGCACAATTTGGGGTTTTTTCTTGCTAGCTGTATCTTTCCTGGCTTTTTACAACATGGGCACAAGGTCTCTTGTGCACATCCAGCGGCTGTAATGGGAAAGCTATGTGGAAAAATAGGCTGGAGACATGAGAGGTGGGGAGTGCCTGATGGAAAGGGGGCAGAGCGGAGGTGTGAAAGGATGGTGCATAAAGGAGGTAAGGAAAGGTACTTGTCTGTAGACAGTTCCCAAATGCAACAAGTCTGCCCTCAGATAGCACTCTCTTATGTTGGGAGAAATCTACCTGGATAAAAGTAGCATGCATGTGGAGGGTGGGTATCCATGCACAAACACTCCTTCCACGGGAGAATGTCTAAGTATTTGGTAACATTTGAATCAGTTCCAGGTAAAGCCACTAAGGTTTGGTCCTTGTCTATGTGTAGCTGCTGCTTACATAGAAAGAAACTTTAAAGGACACCCCAAAAAACCCAAACAAAACCCCCAAAAGGACACCTTAATTAAAAAAGTAGTAATAATCCAAGCCCTCAAAACCATAATGAAGACAAATGTGCGTGGAACTGTGTTCTTCATGTAGTTCTTAGGTGTGTTTTCACACAACTGGCATGGCTAGAGCCTACAGCAGAATCTATTTAAATGAAATAGAGAGAGAATGCAAGTAACTCCATTTGAATTCCTGGTATTCAGAGAAGCAGGGGTCCAGCATAGGAAGGAAATGCCTGGACTCCATTGGGAACCTGTTGTGATGGATGTCTGGGTAGGATGGTGGCCTTGCTGCGTGCAGCAGCAAAGCTCTCTGCTGCTTCTCTGGGGACAAGCTTTGGTTCGTGCGACCTCTCACAGCCACCATCAGTGCCGATGCTCCGAGCTCTGTGTGGTGCTGGGGAATGGGCACAGTTTTCTGCCATAGGTTCCTTACGTGTTTTCTTGCACAGACGGACTTGCAGCACTGTGTGCAGTGCTGGTGTCCTCAGCATGAGAAGGACACGGAGCTGTTGGAGCAAGTCCAGAGGAGGCCATGAAGATGCTCAGGGGCTGCAGCACCTCCCGTATGGAGACAGGCTGAGAACATTGGGGCTGTTTAGCCTGGAGAAGAGAAGCTGTCTGGGGATTTACTGTCCCTGAACACACTTGTTCAATGGGCTCCTCTGAACAGTTTTCTCCCTTGCAGCATGTTGTTAGCCCTCCCTCCCTGCTGCACGCTGTGGGTCTGCAGGGAAGGGGACTTCTGCAGGCTCTCCCGAGCAGGTTAGGCACAAAAGAGCCCTGGCTCCTGGCCTAGAAGAGGCTGCCAGGCGTTTTCTTGGTGTCAGCATTCCTTATTGCTCTGAGGGAAGCCTGAGCTTGTGCCGCCCTCCTTCTCCAAGCTGAGATTAGCAAAGACAAAGCAGCCCTGAGCAGGCTGCACTGAGCCTCCTTGACCCAGGGGAACAGAGACAGCCGGGTACATCTCCTCAAGCCAGCTGTGCACAGACTCTGCCCAAGCTCCCCTCCGGGTATTCCTTGGATGCAAACTCCAGAAAGGGAATTCAGGAGCTGGCAGCCTGCTGCTGGCAGCGCAGGGCATGCCATGGCCCTCTCCTTTGCTCCCTTTGAAGGAGGCTTCCTTCCGCGAGAGGTTTCAAGTCACCTAGAGACAAGATAGCAGGGAATTCCTCACTTGTTGAAACCAGACACTCTCAGTAAAACTATATCATCCCTTCCATAGTCAAGATACGGGTTTTGAGCTGCTGGACAAACAGCTTAAGGCTCACATGCAGACGGGAAGCAGTTTCTTCTGACGCCTTGTCAGTAGAGGCAAAAGGGACAATATGAAGCTACTTCCAGTCTGTCCACGTTTAGCCTTTACTCTCTGTGGTTCCAATGAAATAATCAGACAAATTTTATAGTCCAGACCTGCCAAAGGATCCCAAACATTCAGTTTCCAAAATGTTAATTTTGGGAATCATGTGTCAACATAAAAAGAATTCTTTTTTTGCATCTAGAAAAGAGATGCTAAGAAATTAAAGAGCTGAGATTTTAAATTGCAGGTTTTAAATCGGCAATTACAGATTTACAAATCTGTAATTTAAGTTACAGGTTACATATCTGTAAGTACCCTGTAGAACATTTATAGACGCAGAAACTTACTCCTACCGTGCCTGTAAATACTCCTGTATAGATTTGATGAGTACATCACAATTCTCCCTTCACCTGAGCTGTCACTTTCCACTAGATCTGACTGGAAAATGGACTCTCAGATGAGTGGCTGCACTTACAGGATACCAGCTAATACTCTCTCACACACAGGGCATTTTACTTTCTTCCTACCTGTAAGGGCCTGCAGAATGCCAGGCTTGTAACACGGTGAGTAACACATGAGCTGTCTGCACTGGCGATGGCAGGAGGGCCACAGACAGCAGCCTGCCTGTACTGGTACTGATTGTGACTTCCTTTTCCATATGGATTTTTAATGAAAGAATAGTTTAGTGCTGTTGAAATAACCTGATGGAAATGCTCAGGCAAATCTCTTTCTAAGAGACTTCAGTACGTTGCAATTGCTATACTGCTAGAGGCTATGGATATGCTAGCAAACCTTTCCTAGTGTGTAACTTGTGTTCACATATGTTTCAAAACTGTTTTGACTTTCTCCTAGTGATTCTCCAGTAGGGAATTGATGTGTGCAACCGTGTGTGTGTGTTCAGAGCTATAAATCACACACAAGCATTTGCCTGAGCACACTTTTGCAGGTTTGCTGCTCTCAAATGGGAGTTTTCTTGTTCCATGTCATGCTCGAGACCAAGATTCAGTTACCGGTTTTGTATGACAAAGGTAATGGTAAATCTTTAAGTGTGAGTAATCGTCTGGAGCACCTTTGGCAGCCTCCTCTAAGTCATGTTCCTGAAGAGTACTACCTGATGATTTTGGTTTGACAAGGTTAAGGACTCAGAGGAAAGAAAGGAACTGGGATGTCAGTACCTGACCTCTGACAGCTGTCACGAAGGATGTGTTTTGGGGCTGAAACTGAACTCTAAATTCCCTTTAGTCACGCTCTGTTTATTCAGGCAATACTGCATGCTGTGGACCAACAGCTAATAGAGTTACATGCCAGTTGGAAGTGTACGGAGCAGCACGCATCTCTGGTATCTGCAGCAGTCTCTCCATTTCTAGACTTGCCAGTGTCTACCAACACAGTAAGTGAGCTTACATCTGCATAGCTTTTGGCAGGCAGAACAGAGGCATTTCTGTAATTCTTACAGGATGCCCATTTTGCAATCCCAGTGTGCCAAGGGGACTGATCTGTCACTACGAGGGTATGCAGAGAAAGATTACCCTCAAAGTTCTCATCACATTCCTTAACAAGGCATTACAAATTACGTACATGGAAGCAAGACTAAGGGTTTTCTTTAAATCATTTTATGACCCTGTCGATGCAAAGAAGAATCAGTGAAGGGACAACTGAAATCAGAGCAAATATATTTGAAATGCAAAATTCAGTTCAGTCAAAATGTATACATTAACAGAAGAAAAAGTTGTGAAAAAAATATACAAAAGTTCCCTTCTTCCCCCCCCTTTGAATTAAATATGCTGAAGACCCCTGAAAACTCAAACCCAGTCAAGCCCTCAAATGAAGTTTCAAGTGCTTCTCATGGCAGTAATGCAGTTTTGATAGTTCAGCCAGTGTTAATTTTGTTAGAGGCACATATATGACATACATACAGCACAAATATTTTGCAGTTTTAAAACAGAACTCTAAGCTGATTATTGCAATATGTCACAAGTTAAGGAGTGGTTCTGGAAACCTAGAACTACGGCATATGCTTTATGTAGGGAGAGTGGTCACCTCACCATCGCCAACAGGGCACTGTAAAAACACTGCATTCCACGCTGCTACTTTTTTATTTAGCAGGAGAGAAGAAATGGGATTTAAGTCACATTGCACTGTATGTGAGATAGCATCCAGTGTGGGAACTGAAACTTGGCACCTCAGCTTCCCGTTTTAGTGACTCCCTCTGTCAACACTGCACCTACACAGTAGCAGTGTGCTGTAAATTCATCACAGCACCAAAGCCTAATGTCTGGTAGAGAGATGGAAGTAGTAGGATGCCCCTGAACACCTCTTCTGAAGTTCAACCGCAGCAGAGCAGTTCACCCAGCTTCTGTAATGTTAATCAGCACTTGCTAATACCCCTAAAAGTACTCATTTCATTCATCCCAGGTTGCAAGAGTTTACAGAAGGAGCATCCTTTCACAAACTCTTTTCAGACTGTGCAAGTTTGATATTTATACAGCCTCTGTAGGTCTTATTAATTTCAAGCAATCAGCGTATAAAGAGAGCATGAAATATTCATTAGGAGACTTTTCTACCTTTAGGCTTCTCTCACTTGAAATAAAAGCCTAAAGAAAACCTTCAGATTCCACCCCTACCAGCAGAACCTGGCTCATAAATACAGCCTAGGCTTAGGATTCATGTTAAGGTCTGCTTCACTGCTCAGCTCCAAAAACTCCTTTAAATTAATCTTGTGTCCCATGACTCCCCAAATGTCCCCTCCTGTGCTCCTCATAAGGTAGCATACTGTTGCCTGCAACTTGAGAACCACTGAAATATGAAAAAACTGGAATCTGATCTTTCCATTCCAGCACATATTCTACCATTTCCTGCTAATTCAAGCTCTCCATAGTGACACAGAAAGATTATAGCAGCATTAGTGCAGGGCAGTAAACTGCATCTGACTCGTATTCTTCAGCTAAAAAAAAATAATCCAGTCACACCTTGCAATTTGCAACCTAAATACTGAATGCAACGGTTTAATGGCATATATGGAGGGTGAAGTCCCGCAGTTTTGAGTCAACGCGTTTACACCAGGATTTCCTGCTCAGTACCAAGCAGCCCGTGCAGTCAGTCCCAGCAACTGATTCTTTCCTGCTCAGGGATCAGGCTCCAGTTGGGCGAAGGCCTATCAGTGGCCAGCCAGTCAAAGTCATCCACCAGGTTCCAGTTGTTTCTGTCCCTGTCCAGCCCAGACGCCTCGAAATCTCTCTCAATGCCGGGGTAGCTCCAGGTGTAGGGGGCAAAGGAGACCTTGGTGCAGTCCTCGATCACGGCTCGGCTGGTCACCTGCACGTAGAAGCGGCTCCTGCGGGTGCGATGGGTGCGGAGCTGCTGGCAGGCCATGGCCAGGAGGCAATCGCTGCAGCCGTCCACCAGCACGGAGGTGGACACGGGCCCGCAGAGCACGGTGCAGCCGCGGCAGTCGCGCACCCGCAGCGTGTTGGCGTTGCCGCGGAGCCGCACCTGGCAGCCGCGCAGCCCGGACAGCAGCACGTCGCGCTGCAGCAGCTCAGCGGGGCCGAGCTCCAGCTCCTCATTCTCGACGCCGCTGAACCCGCACAGCGGCGGCCCGCCCGGCTCCCCTTCGGCGGGCCCGTAGCCGGGAGCGGGCGCAGCGGAGGCGGCCGGGGCCTGGGCGGGCTCTGCGGGGCGCGGCTCGGAGACCGGAGCCGCTTCCTTCTTGATGGTGCGGAAGGCGAATTTCTTCTTGGGCTGCAGCTGCTGGCGCCGCGCCGCCAGGTCGCTCTGCAGCCGCGCCACGGCCTCCTGCCCCTGCCGCACCTCGTAGGGCGCCAGGAACCGCACGCTCTCGGTCAGCAGCTTCTGCAGCGCCTGCAGGCTGGCAGCCGCCTCCTCCAGCAGCCCCGCCGCCAGCAGCCCCTCCAAGGCCTCCCGCTCCCGGGTGAAAGCGGCGATGAAGAACTCGCTCTGCTCCTCCTTCACCACCTGCGCCTCCTTCTTCTGCCGCTGCCGCTCCACGCCCTGCTGCCGCTCCGCTTCCCGCCGCTGCAGCCGCTCGGGCAGCACCACGGCGGCCGCCCTCAGCTCCTCGGGAGCCGCCGCAGCCTCCCTCGCCGCCTCCATCTTGCCTCCTCGCCTCTCCTCCCGGTCACTAAGCGGCCCGCCCATTGGCCGCCGGCAGCCCCGGTTGCGCCGGCGCCGCCGATTGGCAGGCAGAGCGCGGCCCGGTGGGAGGGGTGCGCGGTGGTTTAAAGGGGCCGGCGCCCGGCTGCGGGATGGGGTGAGTGCCGGCGGCAGGTGCCGCGCTGCGCGGGGCGCGGAGCCGGGGCCCGAGTTAGCAGCCGGGGTATAAATAACCCCCGCGCTCCTCCTTCCCCCCTGCGCGCGCAGCTGCCTGCTGCTTTCCGCCCTCTTCCTTCTCCTCAGCCCGTCTCACAGGCCGCGGGGTACCCCGGCTGCCGGCGCACCCACCCGCGCTACCGCGCCTCGCATCTTCTCCCTGCCGCGGGGCTCTGGGGGCGGAGGGGTGCGGTTGGGGCCGCAGAGCGCGGCCGCGCTTCCCTTTGCCGTTAGGCTGCGTGGTGCTGGCGGGCGCGGAGCCCCGGTGTTTCTGGGCGGCGCTGCGCGGTGGTGCAAACCGTCCCCGCTGGTTCCTCGTGTGGAGTGGCTGCGGAGCGGGCGTTAGGAGCTCGCAGGTAGCGGTGGAGGTGCTGCTGAGTGGGCTGTGTTGGCTCCTGGCTGCCTGCTTGGTTTATGGAGTGTTTGGTGCCCAAAGAGAGCTCGGTGGTTGAGGGAGAGCTGAGAGCTGTGGTTACTGTGGCCTAGGGAGAGGGCCGTGAGACTCCCACAGGCCCACCTGCGATCATGGTGAGGAGGGCTCTCTTTACATGGTCAGTTTTCAGAGTTAGAAGTGGAAAAGCGACCTTTGTTCTGATGTATTTTGAGAACTGTGCTTCTATGTCACGGAATGTTAATTTTTGCAAGGAAAGTTAACACAAAGCCCTCTTTTAAGATAAATCCCATCCAGTTCTACAAATACCATCTCTTATCCTTTTGTGTTTCAAAGTATCCTATGGTAAATTAGCAACGGACCTAAACCTGTCAGTGGAAGAGAAAATGTGGTAAACCCGAAGCAGAGACTCCAAATTTACAGTCTTCTAATAGGGTGATGGCATTGATCTTTTTTGGTCTAATTTTCCCGTTGGAAAATAGAGATTGTTATGCTACTGAAGGTTAGCATTTGAAAGTGGCTTTAGCTTGAAAGTAGCAATTGTTTTCTGTTTCCTGAGAAATACAGTATTAGACGTAACATTGTTAGAGTTAGTAGGGAGTACCTGATTCTTCTGTGTAGCGCAGTTAGGGTGTTGAGAGGAGGACAGTGAAATACCTTTAATGCTCATAATGCACAAAGTACTTGCACTAAAATAGAGAATATTCCTTCCTTGTAAAGGTTATAGGATGAAATCGGAGGGTTTTCAAGGGGTTGTTGTGTAACAGCTCCTGTTGTGCAGGAGCAGGTTGGATGGGGGGCAGCAGGATGGGTAATGTCCTGGTTAAGGGATTACAGCTCTGAACTGTCACAGTGCTGCATGGGTCATTTTGTTCCTGAAAATATAGCTTTCTGAGTCTTAAAAATCAACGCTCTGGAGAAAGGGAGAATGCTCACTTGTGAACAAGGAAGGATATGTCGAAATATTCTCACTTAAGTGGTTGGGTTTTTTACTACCAATGTGTTTAAATATGCATTTAGCATGTCTTAGGCATTTTTGCTAGTAACGAATGAAATCCACTTCTGCAGCAATTGCACTTGTTACATTGGGTGAGAATATGGTGCTGTCAAGTCACTGTAAGAAAAAAGAAATCCTTACTTCCATATTGTTTCCTAAGAAATAGATCTGAGTTCTCTTTTACATAGCAGGCTTCTTTGCCTTATGCTTCCACCACTATAGGTGATACCAGTTTATCCCATACATGAGAATATGGACAGAAAAAGGTTTTTGCTGTTTTTCAGTATGCACAAATGTTACTGGCTTTGATGTTGTTACACAAATATGGCCTGAGAGATGAACTGCAGTGAGTAAAACAGTTTTATACCTGGAAAGATTACAGTAAAACATTAATGTGTGCAGCCTAAATTAAATGTTAAGTATTTTATGCTGCAGTATAATAACTTTTTATTATATTTGGGCACTTAAAAAGCTTTAGAAAGTATTTTGTATTGGTTTTAAATTAATGAGGCCCAAATACACTTGTGAATAGAGGCTTTTGGGAGAGACCGGAATCTTTTCACCTTGCTAATGTGCACAAATAGCCCCAGATACGAGAACATAAAGTGTACTGAAAAATTAAAAAGGGAGCAGCAAAATTCTGCCAACTATCTCATCTTGATGTTTCAAGATTATTTCCTACACCTACCGTTTGAGGTTTTGGTTTGATTGGTATTGGTGTATATTTATCTTTTTTTGTGGTAATACAAGTACTCACAATATTCTTCCTGTCTTTGCTGGCAGCAGCTTTTAAGGCTCTTTAGAGTGCTCTGTTATAAGCCTTAGAAAACAGAGGATTTACAATTTCCCAAACAGTAACCACCTGAATAACATGTAAGCCTTCTAGCTCAGGTTTGGACTCATGCTGGTAAGCTGTAAGAAGCAGTTTGGCTGTCTCCTGTTCTCCCCCCTCACTCCCTACTTCAGCTCCTCTCTGGTTTGAACGTAGATAGTAGTCATTTGACAAAGACCTTTTGCCGTTGCTTGGACTGTACAGGGTCATTTGTTTCCCAGAAGCTTCAGGTTGCACTTGCTGACTTGGATCTAGTGCTGGGAAACTCCAGAGCATAAACTCCGTTACATGTGCTTCCATGCTTAAATCTGTATCCCATAGTGATGGCTCTTGAATGCTTTCTATCTGAAATATTTTGTACTGACTTAAGCTGGCTCAACAGCATTAACTCGTAACCTTTGGAAGTGAGATGTATTGCATAGTTCTGGTGAAGGTTCAAGATTCTGTCTCATTCCATCCTTACTTTAAGAAAAGTGGGGAGTAACAGCGAAATCTACAGAGGCAACTGGCTTTCCAGCCTCATAGCACTGGATTCTTAAACCTGAGGTTCCTGGGCTTGCAAAGTCAAGAACCTCCTACTTGTAGCGCTCTCTTGAGATGCAGCTTTGTGCTCTCTCAAGCAAAGGAAGGAAGTAAATGCAATTACTCCTTATCATCGGTCAGCACTGACGTTTTTAGTACCAAAGGGTGGAATGCATGTACCTTGCGCAGTCACACACAGAATGCTGGTTTGCCTTTTAGCTGTGTTTTAAAGAAAAGCAGCAGCCCTTTGTCTTGTGTGGAGCTCTTTCTTATCTGATCGATAGGATCTCTGCTGTTACACTGAGTTTCTCCAGGAGAGATTAGCACATGAACATAATTACTTCTGGCTACAAAGTAGGTACTTCAGTGGCTTGTATAACCATCACGGCATTCTACTGCTGGTTTTAGCAAGGGCTCTTTGAACTCCTCTGGCACTGTGATCAGGCATTAAAGATGTAAGCTGTAGTATGATCCATTTAAGATACTGTACACTACATTTTTCACGGTGGAATGGAGCTGCAATGAAAGTGACTGTCAAGCCACTGTGTTGCTGTTCTCCTGGAAAAAAAAACAACAACACATAAGTTTCTTTACCATTACATTTGGCATATTGGTTGCTTTTTAAAAAGCTTTTGTTTGGACTAAAATGTAGTGCTTTATGTATTTGGCCATATGGAAAGGCAAGACAATGTAAAATGTGTGTGTTTTAAATCACTAATTAGGGAGTTAGAGCTACAACTGTGAAACTTACTCGGTGCATCTTAATTGCTGTGAGTAATGCAAAAGCTTTGAAATGTAATCCTTGGGAATGCTTAAGATACTAATTATATTCCAACCAGGCAAGGTGCACTTGTTGGGAAACGAGTCTGAGCTGGTCCCTTCTGAGAACTTGGTGTTCCCAATGCCAAAGGTGGAGAAACAAACTCGTTTCTAGGAAAATGAGCTACCCTCCAAAAGCAGGGACAGACTTCAAAGCGTAACCTCTTATGACAAGGGGCACCTCGGGAGGAACAAATCAAGACAGAAATACACAGAGCACAAAAGCTCAAGAGCAGAAGAGCACTTAGGTTCGGCCCAGGCCTTGTTGTGATGGGTATTTAGAATCCTAAACTTGCTAATTGACAGTTAAATTGTGAAGACCAAATGTGTAAGCTGCAGATGCCGTCTTACATACTCTCCCTTCCAAGTAGTAATTCTATTAGTCCTGGAGCTCCTAAGAGAATTTCCCATTTTGGAATTGTGGATCTTAATTGAAAACATATTCCATTTTTTTTTTCTGAATAATTTATACAGAAATAACTTGAAGGCATTATATCCAAGTTTCCTGATTTTGTTAGCTCTCCTGTAGTATATTCATTAGTTAACCAAGCTAAGAATGCTAAGAAACTTACTCTGCCTTTTATTCATCTCATGAGCAAAATCTGTCCGCTGTCATTGTGAAGGAGGACTGCCTCCTCCTGTTATTAGCATTTATACTTCAGCCTCAGTCTGAGAATAAATTCCATTCATGGCAATACATTTTTTAGTGACAATATGAAGACTTATCTTTCAGCAGTCTTTATTCATATCCAAATCTTATCCAGCTCGTTTCTAGTAGGGTCCTGGAAATACCCAAGTAAAACCACTCTTTCTCAAAAGCTGGGACTTAAGATGGTGCTTCATTCATAATGTCCATTTTTGTCTTGTCCTTCTACAGGTACAGCTTAGCATGTTTGTGTTATTAATGTTATTGGTATAACTTACTATTTCACTGTTTCTGTTGCCCCTCTAATGCCTCATTTCATGTTTTAGGTCTTCATTCTTTGTTTAAGTTCCTTCTGGTTTTATTTATTGTTTTTTAAATCATCCGCAGCACCTCGGTTGTATTAGGAATGGTCCTTTTGTTAGTTTCAAGGCCCACCTGCTGGTTTGAATTACTACTGCTTTAAAAAGCAAACACAGCAAACCCTTGTGTCCCTCTCCTCATTACATACCGATGTATTTCTATGTCCTTACTTGGGGTTTTTTCCCCATTCATCTCTGAATATTATAGAGGCTTTTCCCAATTTCTGCCATCATTTTTAGTTTAAATTGCTTATATAAATCTTGACGGTGTAAGTTGTTAAAGATTATTTCTCCAGACA